GGAAAATATTCATGATCCATGGCATTGTCTGTCATGGGTTCCAGAAGGATGCTCTCAGTTCGTGTCCTTTTTGAATCACACCTGACATGGTAGAGGAAAGGCACTAAACAAAAAATATTCACAGAAGCTCTTAGGAATTGAATTGTATCCCTCCAAAAATTCACAGGTGGACAGTCCAACCCCTGGGACTTCAAAGTGTGACGTTATTTGGAAATAGGATATTTGCATCTATAATTGGTCATATTGGAAAATGCTCATATGACCAATGTTCTTATGTAAGGAAATTTGGACACAGTCTTGACACAAAGAGAGAACACCATTTGAAGGTGAAGGCAGAGACAGTGAGATGCAGTTACAAGTCAAAGAACACCAAAAATTACCAGGAGATCACAGTCTTGTGAGGGGCATGGAGCAGATGCTCCCTCAGCGCCCACAGAAGGAACAAACCGTGCTGACACCTTGGCCTCAGACTTCTGGCATCCGGAACTGTGAGACAATTCATTTATGTGGTTTAAGCCAACTAACTGTGGTACTTTGTTACAACTAGAAAACTAATACAGAAGGAAGGAGAATTATAGGGAAAGAGGGAAGAAAAAAGAATAAAGATAAATAAATGTGTAATAAATAAATGTGGAAAATAGAGACTAAGTGAACAATGAGAACTGGTTTCACTTTAGAATGCCCTTGATGAAACAGTAAAAATTATGAATTATATTAAATTCTGTAATGGAAAGTATGCATAAGCAACTTCTTCTGCACGCCAGATCATGACCAAGGTGTGAAGCAGCACATATGCAGTTGTTTGGCTGTGAACTGAGCCAGCTGCCTTTTTCATGAAACAACAATTTTTACTTGAAACAATGACAAAATATCAGCAATCAATCTTGTGTATTTGGCATTTATCTCCTAAAAAAAAAGAACAAATAAAATGAGCCTATCAGTTCAGAGGAAACAATTGACAGTATGGTAGAATGCAAATTTTTCTAATGAAAATTCAAATTTTAAAAACATGTTCACCAGTCTTATCTTGATCAACATCTAGAGATGTTTCTGAGGAGATCGATGGTGATGTGAAAGTGGGATTTTTTTATGTTGTATAATTTAATAAATCAATATTTTCTAAATGACCAGTACATGATGTATACAATCATGTGGGGGAAGATCCATGAGTTAAGCCAATCTGTTTTATAAAACTGTATGAAAAATTAATTAATACAGTTTTGGAACTTATGTTGCTTTGTCCCCTTTTGCAATTATGATCTGCCAAGATTTAGGAAAACATCAAAGAAGAATATCCAGAATATCCACAATATTCTGAAAAAGTGTCTCCCTTTTCCAATTACTGATGTGTGAGGCTGTATTTTCTTCACATACTTCAAATAAAGCAGCCTTTTCTAACACATTGAAGGCAAATTTTAAAATTTTTTTGTCTACTGTTAAGAGAGGCATTAAAGAGACTTATAAAAATGTTAATCAATAATTGAGAGATAATTTCTTAACTGAGTAAGAGTTATCTGAGTCCATAGACAGTATTTATTTAATAGAGAAACATTGAAGTCATTTCTGCTAAGACCAGAAGCAAGGCAGAAATACTTGCTACCTCTACAATTGCACCACACTGTAACAGCAGTGTTAGTCACACAATTAAATAAGGAAGCTTAGAGGCAAATGAATATGTAAAAAAGAAGGAAAACTGTCTTTTCTTTTCAGATTATCAGAGAATATAGCTGCAAAAGCCCAGTGAATCAATGATAAAACTATCTGAAGCAATAAAATAATTAAGTGGTGTGGTACAATGTGTTAATATAAAGAAATCAATAATCTGCATATATGTGAATAAATAGATGATATAATGCTGAAGAAAACCCCATTTACAATACCAACAACGAAGATTCAGATACTTAGGAAGAATTTTAATAAATGTAAAAGTATAAGTTTATATGAGAAAAAAAGTTTAAATGCTCCTGAAAGACACAAAAGTAAGTTTTAACAAATGAGAAAACATTCTCTGTGCCCCATTAGGTCAACAACATTATAAAGTTGTCAATTCTCCTGAAGTTAATTTACAGTTTTAATGCAAACTTAATAAAAATACCATCAAGCTCTTTTATGGAGTTAGATAAGTTGATACTAACCTTCAAGAATAGCCAAGCCAGGGGCTGGGGATGTGGCTCAAGCAGGCGCGCTCGCCTGGCATACGTGCGGCCCGGGTTCAATCCTCAGCACTACATACAAACAAAGATGTTGTGTCTGCTGAAAACTGAAAAATAAATATTAAAAATAATAAAAAAAAAAGAATAGCCAAGCCAGGCTTGGTGGCACACACCTGTAATCCCAGCAGCTCCAGAGGCTGAAGCAGGAGGATGGTATGTTCAAAGCCAGCTTCAGCAGCAGTGAGATGCTAAGCAACTCACTGGGACCCTATCTATAAATAAAACACAAAAATGTGCTGTGGATGTGGCTCAGTGTTTGAGTGCCCCTGAGTTTAATCCCTGGTACAACCCCTCCCCAAAAAAAGCCAATAAAATACTCAAAAAGAATTACTAAGGAAATGCCATCAGACATTAAATCATAGATGAAAACCTTTAATTAACATGGTGTGGCACTGGGCTGGGGGAGCTAAGTGGTCAACAGAACAGCAGGGAAGGTCCAAAATGAGCAAACATAAGGAAATTCATTAGGTGGTAAAGGTGGCACTTCAGATCACTACTTTTTAAACAAATATCAGCAGATCAACTGAAGAGCTAATTAGAAAAAATTAAAATGAGATTCATATCTCACATCCTATACAAGAATAACTCCAATTGAATTAAGGATCTAAGTGTAAAAAATGAAACCGTGAAAGTGTCAGGGGAAAAACAAAGGTGAGTTTCTCTGTAATCTCTGAGTGGGAAATGGCTAACTGTGGCTCAGACTCCAGACATTAAAAAAAAAAAAAAGCTTGGTAAAGCTGACTCATAAAAATCTTAAAAGCTTAGCTCATCCTAAAAGTCAAAAGACAGAGAAGTACCTAAATGAACATATTCACAACATGTACCACAAAGGCTTAATACCCCTAATATAGATAGAACTCTCAAAAATTGATAGACCAAATTATGCTATGTACATATATGAATATACAAGTGAATTCTGCCTTTATAAATACCTGTAAAGCATCCATTTTAAATACAAATAAAAGGAATATCAGTAAAGTAGAAAAAAGGGGAGTAGGGGGAGGTTAGAGGGGAGGAAAAGAAGCAACACTGGGGATTGAAGTGCAGAAAATTATATGCCATTCATGTATGATTATGTCAAAATGAGCCCCACTATTATGTAACTGTAATGTACCGATAAAAACACTTTAAGAAATTGATTGATAACCAAAATCCCAATAGAAAAATGGGAAACACAAGTACGTAGTTCATTATAAAGCAAGATATAAAAGTGGTCCTCAAACAAGAAAAAATATTCAAATGCACCTATAATTCGAGAAATGCAAATTAAGAGAACATTAAGGTGTTATTATTTCTCATGTGTCACAGAGTCAAAAATTAAATAATGTGTCAGCTCATTCTGTTGGTCAGAATTACAGAGAAACAGCCCTGTCATGCCTTGCTGGTGGGAATGCAAATTAATGCTACCTTTCTAGAGGGAAATTTGGCAAAACAAAACTACATCTGTATTCACTTTTGAGCCAATAATCCCACTTCTAGGGATCCACCCTGAAGACACAACTCCAGTGATCAATAAATAAATAAATAAATGCACAAGGTTATCTATTGTGGCATTGTTTCTAATCACAAAATGTTGGCAACACCTGAATCTTCATACATAGAAGAATGTGATTGAATAAACATGGCATATCAAGACACAACCAACCACTGGGAAGTTCTGAAAAAGAATTGAGGAAGAGCCAGTTCTATGAATAAGTGTGGAGGAATTCCAGGACATACTGTTAAATTCAAAAATCAAAGCCCAAAAGAATCTGTATTGTACACTCTTCTTCATAGAAGAAGGAAGAAGATATGAGAAAGTAGACTTCACTGTGCTCATTTGTACAAAACAAATACAGCCAGAATAAATCAGAAACTAAAGAGATCAGTGGCCTGCTCTGGGGGATGGAAAGAAGAGGGGGGTATGCAGTGGAAGGAGGCAGGAGTCACATTTCTCTGGCTCTCAGAACCACGGTGATATTTAACATTCCCTTCAAAGTCTGCATGGTGAACTGCTACTGTACTTGTGTCACTATTACACCATGAGCCTCAGGTCTGATCTAGTGTGGAAATATTTAATGCTAAGTGTTAGGCAGTATTAAAGGAACTTTTCTATTTAACACCACTTGCCCAGGAGGTATGAAAATGGAATGCTTTTTCTCTCCAGTAGTTCTAATCAGCTGCAGATGTTCAAGAACCTTGTATTACAAGGGGCCTTGGAGACCAGACCCTTCCTGGACCAAACAGAGGATCCTTTTCTGAGAGTGAATAATGAAGATTGTTTTAACCAGTTTCTCCCCTTAACACTGATTTTTCTGTGCTTAATCAGCATAAACATCACTAATTTTTCTTCTTAGACCTTAAGGGAAACACTGGCTGTATTCTTTTGCCTGACAAGTTAGGAATTTCACCTTCAGTAATTTTTATTTGTTTTTGGTTTTTCTTTAATTCTTTGTCAACAGAGGGTTGAAATATTTACATGACCTGGAAGACCATTTAAGCATCTTAAAATTCCTTAAGTAAATGTTTTGGCCAAATTGTGCAAATATATTTAGATGAACAATCTGCATTTCATCTTCCTTAATATTTTCTGCATCATCCACAGATGGAGATGATAATGGACCATGAAATTATCAAAAGACATCCGGCAGAGAGATGAGCAGGAAACGAGCAAGGGACTATTAGTTCATTAGGTAGTTTCCCAACCCTGAGTGGCCAGCAGCAGATCTTTACTTTTGATTGCATAGGTGAAATCCCCCTTTTCCATTTCCCCTGGCATGTTGAGGATGCTGGCATTTCTCATTTCAGGAATGACAATACCTGAAGAAGATGCTGATGTGGGACAAGGCAGTAAATACTGCCTTGTGGCAATTGGGAGACTCCAGGTAAGAAAATAATCAGAGCTGTTTTCATCTCAAAAAAGAGCTTAGTGCAAAGAACAAGAAATTGTGAGCTTGGATGCCTGTTCTCCTCTGTACCCAGTGTTTGTTGACTTTTGTGTCTCACTCTGGGACAAGAACAAGGCCAAATCGGGGTGGGGGGGTGGGGAAGAAAGGGACTGTGAACTGTAAACAGCAGAGGTCTTGTTGGGTGAGGGTTATATCATCCCATTCCCCTAACAGAGTCTAGATCTGCCTACAGCACATCCCTGATTAACCGTTTCAGTGTTTTTCCTGGAGCCCAAGTGATGAAGTGCAAACTCTTTATTCCAACCTCATCTCCTTCCCTTTGTCCTCTCTCACCACATCCTATTCTCCTTCTCTGTGAACCCATCGTGTGATTTCCCACCTCTATTGGTGTTCACAGCCTGTTTCTTCTGCCTGGGATTTCCTTGTTCCCTTTTTTTCTTTCAAAAATCTCTTTCTTCCTGGGTACTTCCTATCAATTTATCCTCCAAAACCCAACTAAAATGATTCCCCATCTCCATAGTCAAAATTAATCATTTCCTCCTCCTTCTCTCTAGCACTGGGTTCCCACGTTAGCCATCATCTCTTTGCTGTCCCTTGTGCTACTGTTAGCTGAGTGCAGGATGGCTTTGTTAACCAAGTGTGTGATGGTTAGCTGAGCATGACACCATCCCCTGTGAGATCCTCCGGGGCAGGGAATGCCTTTTTATCTTCTGAGAGTCAGATGTGCTCAGTGCCTGACACAGAGTAAACTACTCAGTCAACTGGATTGTTCATATCTTTGTGATAATTAGGGTCTTCCTATCCTATTGATAGGTCACATGATAGACATGGGCAAAGTAACCCTTCATGTCCCTGGTTTCCTAGGTCTGAGTGTTTTCAGATAAATAAATAAGCAGTTTCATACAATGTGACAGACCATGGGCAATCCTAATTGATTAGTAGAGAAAGAATATTTGGGCAAATTCAGTCCACAAACATACACTTTCCAGATATTTTAACCAGTTACTTAGGCTCATTTTGCTATTTTCAGTGAAGGGAAGACAGGAGAAGGAAGGCGTATTAATGTTTATTTAGCAACAACTTTGTGCCAAGGCTTTACCTGCAATGTCTCAACCTATGAGGTTATGGGTTTCATTATTCCCATTGGCTAATCAGGAAACATATAAAGTCAGAAATGTAAAGAAAGAGGCCCATTGTTACTGTTTAGTTAAAGGTATAACCTGGCCTCTCTGAGCACTTTACACTCATTGCACCAGTCATATGAAAGAATGTGTGATGTTAGATTCCCATTCTCTATCACCATCTCCATCAGTAGCACCTAAGCTATGGATTTTCCCATTGCAGGTGACCAGCTCTCCCGTGTGCATGGACATGAATGGGATGTCAGTGCCCACAGAGTTCTTATCTCGCCATAACTCTGACGGAATCATCACATTTGTGGATCCAAGATGCATCAGTGTGATTGGCTACCAACCCCAGGTTAGTAGATAGTTTTGAGCTTATGGGGCAGTTGGCTAGAGATTTAAACTTCCTTAACACATATTTGTCCCATTTGTTTGAGATACAGCATAATGATATTGCAGAGAAACACCAATAAATCTAGGTGCCTTGCCCAGATTAGGTGATATCCTTCCAAACAAGAAAATTCACTAAGCAGTAGTGTGCTTGCTTAGTATATACAAGGCCCTGAGTTTAATCCCAACACCACACAAAAGAAAAAGTCCATCATAAACTTTTCCCTAGCTTGTGCAGTTTCTGATTCTCAAGCTGGTTTTTCACAAACTAGAGTTAAGATAATTTTACAAAATTTATCAGCATGAGAGAATCTTGTAAAGATGCCTACCTCATTTTTCCTAATTCTTCTCAGAAGCCTATTTTGCATGGGCCACACTTTCAGGTCTTTGTTCCAGGTTCTTTGTGTAAAAGTCACTGGCAACCTGGTACAGTGGCACACAGCTATAGTGCCAGCAACTCAGGGGCCAAGACAGGAGGATCTCAAGCTCAAGGCCAGCTTTAGCAACTTAGCAAAGTTCCAAGCAACTTAATGAGATCCTGTCTCAAAATAATAAAAAGGACTGGGGATGTGGTTCACTCAGTGGCATGAGAAACACAAGGCAAGAGTGGTTGTCCCAGGTCAAGACAGAGAAATCAAATGGCTAAATACAATGTGAAAGCCTGAACTGTGTCCTGGGCCTGAAGACGTCTAGCTAGAAGAGATACAAGGGAGACAATGTAAATATTAACACATACAGATTATTATTATCTTATTGAACAATTATTGGTTTTAAGTTAATAGTATGACGCATTGTGGTTTGGGGTGTGATTTTTTTTTTTGGATGTGATTTTAGGATGTGATTTTTATGAGACATGCTAAAAATACTTTCGAGAGGGGCTGGGGTTGTAACTAAGTGGTGGAGCGCTTGTCTCACAAGTATGAGGCATTGGGTTCAATCCTCAACACCACATAAACATAAATAAACAAAACAAAGGTATTATATCCATCTACAACTAAAAATATATATATGTATGTGTGTGTGTGTGTGTTATATATTTAAAAAAATACTTTGAGGAGAAGTGTCATGCATGATTTCTACAACTTCCCATCAAGTGGTTCAGGAAGAAATTATAAGCTATGTGTACATGGATACATATGCACATATACATATAGATACATATGTGAAGAAAAATAAAATGCAAGAGTGACAAGATATTGGCAGTTCTCAAATCTGTATAAAAGATACACAAGTGTTTGTTTTACTACCCTTTTAACTTTTCTGTAGATTTTCTTTCAAAACAAAAAAAAATTTAAAACAAAAGAAAAAGATGCTGTTCTGAGGAAAATACTTTGGAAATATTGATAGAATATCAATGACATAGATATTTTATTGATCTTTTGGAGGTGCTGGGAATTAACCCAGGGCTTCACGCATGCTAGGCAAGTGTTCTTCTACTAAGCAACTTTCTTAGCCCTACATATGTATCTTAGAACTAGAAGGAGTTCCCATCAGAATTATTAGAACCTTTGCCTAATTCTACATGTCTAGGTTTATACAAACCTGGAGACTCTTGGATGGAATTAAAAGGAAACTTGATCTGTTTGCAAATGCATTGATGGCAGCACATTTCTATTCAGATACATCAATCCTCCAGCACCTCCTGTGAGCATCTGTTTGTTCCTGGGCACAAAGATAAAACTTGCTGCATTGTTGGTGTCAGCTCACTCTTGGCAGTGTGTGCCCATGTGGGTTCCGATCAATGAGTTAGTTTACATCCTTTGCTATTTAAGATGCTTCCAACTGGACCACTTTCCAGAACACATTTGAAGTTGGCCTTTGATAGTTTATCTTATTCTGCTCTGTGTCGTTGTGAAATGTACTTTTGTTTTGGGTTAAAGCTGGGTCCTTTGAGCAAACCATAGACCATAGAAGGTGGACAGTAAACAGACTTTTAACAACTTCAGTTATTTTATGATAACTTCATTTCTTCAGCCACAAGGCAACTACAGTTTCCACATTTAAACAGTTTCAGTTTTCTTAGGCAACACATCTGTCTGTCTGCTAGCTTTTTGCTTTCTTTCAATGTTTATTAAAATATGTTGATTATAGCTTGCATCTCCAAAGCAAACAAAAATAAAATTGCATTCTGAAGCTGCTGATCTAGTGACTTAGCAAAATTAGAAATTTTGGTATGGAGTGTGCCAAAGGAATTTAGAATGAACACAAGGAAGCCAGACCCTCTATGGCTCCAGGAAAAATTGGCATCCGCTTTTCTTTTTTTCAATCTGTGGTGGTGCAGGCTGAAGAGATGAGTTAAAGAAGACATAAATGAACACTCTTGTCTAATAGTTATAAATAATTAAAAATGGAATTTGGGGCTGTTAAAGCTTTTCTCTTTCATTTAGGATCTTCTGGGAAAGGACATTTTGGAGTTCTGCCACCCTGAGGATCAGAGCCATCTGCGTGAGAGCTTCCAGCAGGTGCTGCCCATTCTTGTTCCCAGATGATCCTGGGTAACCTAGGTGCATGGGGTATGGCTGGTAGGAGACTAGTCCTGCTATGGGCTTGGCAGGCTGCAATTTCCTAATCAAAGCATTAATCAGGGACCTGCTGGGAAGCAGCTCACTATCCAGCAGAGAAGACAGATACATGAGGAGGTCACTAGAGGGTGATGGGAGAAGAACTCTAAAGTGACAGGGAGAAAATCCCATACAGCACAAGGTCAGCTGTGTGGGCAAGAGGCAGGAAGAGTATCCCAAAGAAGAGGACAATTGGAATGAGTCTTCAAGGGTGACCATGGGAGAAATGAGAGAACTCCCTGAACTGGGGGTTCTGGGGGCAGGGTAGTACCAGAGATGCAGAAGAATGTGGCCTAGCAGGAGGATCCTCAGCAGTTCTGCAGCTGGATGACTAGGAGGGATGATGTAGTGGGAAGTGATTGAGAAGGAGCCTGGCACAGCTAAATTTTTAGGGCCTCTTATGCATGCCATGGTAAGGCATTTAGATTATCTGCTCAGTCACCTAAGGGTAAGTGAGGATTCCTTTGAGGATTTTAAGCAGAGCAATGTTTTGAAAAAAACGCTTTGGTGATCCAGGTATGCAGATATGGAAAATAACTGGAAACAAAAATAACTCAGGAGCTTTGTTAATTCCTGTGGTAACAATGAGTCCACACTAACAAAAAAATATATAATAATAATAATAGTAGAACGGATCAGGGAGAGGAAGGCAAGGAGGGAAAGGGAAAATACTGGGGAACAAGATTGATCAAATTATCAAATGTTATGCCATGTATGATATGGCATAATGAATTCCACTATTGTATATACTTATAATACACCAATAAAATAGGAAAAAAATTAATTAATTGCCTGGGCAAGAGTTAATGAGGCCAAAAGTTGGGCAGGAACTATGGGAAACAAACTTGAGACAGTTTCATTAGTAGTGATACTTCAGCTGGAGATGGTGAAGGAGAGGGAGGGACTTAGGATTACTGGGAGCCTGACAGGGAAGCCACCCTAATAACAGTATCATGTGCATCGCTACTGTTGGCTACTGTTTCCTGAATGCCTACCATGCACTGGGCACATATGCTATCTTATGGAATCTCATGGGAGTTGTAGGAGGTAGGAGCTGACATCTTGCTATTCCAGGTGAATTTAGTAGGGCCCAGTGCTGAAAAGTGCCAAGTACCACATAGTCAATGAAAGAAAACTGACTCAAAGTAAGGATCTGTCACCTGCTGAGCTGGCTCAGCTGTGGTGACAGAGGATACACTCTCTCTCTCTCTCTGCAGAACACTAAAGTCCCCCTCTCAGCCCTGGGAAAGAAGAGAGCAGACAACATTACAAGAAAGAAGCCTTTGAGTTTCTTTTCAAGAGGGAGTAATAATAGCCTGTCATTCATCTGAAGGCGTACACACTTGACATTCTTCTTTGCAAGTGTTTTAGATGGAGCCTCTCTGGCAGCCAAGCCCATTGAAGGCACTGCCATGTCTGCACAAAGATTTATGTCCCATGTGTGGGCAAAGCTCCTACCCCATACTCTGCTCATTCCTTCTGGAATATTACCCACTCCTGGTTTTCTTTCCACTTCTCAGCCTCCTTTATGGGCTCCTCCTCCAGTACATTCTTCTTCAAGCCATGATGGCAAGGACCCCGTTCTTGCTGCCTTCTCTTCTTTTCATTCTGTGCTATTTCCCTAGGTGATATCTAGTAGAAAACTCCAGCCCAGCCAGGTGCAGTGACACATGCCTGTAACCCCAGCAACTCAGAAGGCTGAGGTGGGAGGATCACTGAATCCAACCTCGAAACTTAGTGAGACCCTGCCTCAAAATAAAAAATCAAAAGGGCTGGGGATATAGTTCAGTGGTCAAGAGCCCCCTTGTCCACATCCCTAGTTCCAAAAAGAAAACTCCAGCCCAGCCTGTCCTTCTGGCTCCACATCTGCTTCTATCCAGGTAGCTGTTCCACATCTCCACCCAAATGTCCAGTAACCTTCAGAGACGGAGCTCTTCTCTCAGCCTTCATCCTCCCTCACAGCATGCTCACCTGGCTGCTCAGGCCAGAAATCAAGCCCCTCACTCTTCCCTTTCTCTCTCTGTACACCCAGCCCCTCAGCACGTCCTCTGGAACTCCTCCAAAAGACACCTACAGTCCATGCCTCCTTTACTCACACTCCCCTCAACGAGGCCATCCCCATCTCCCATTTTGACTCCTGCAATAATTCCCTCCATGGTCTCTCTACCTTTACTCTTGTTTCACTTCAAGCCATTATGAAAACATAAGCTAGGTTTGTCACATTCTATTTAAAATCTGCCAATAGTTTTTCAGCTTATCTAGAATCAAATCCCAGTTTCTTGCCACAGTTTCACAAGTTTCTGCATGAGCCTTGTCCTATCTCGTTTTTCCTTAGAAACTGCTCTTCAGTCACACTGGCCACCTTGAACATGGTTTCTTTCCCACCACAAGGCCTTTGCTCATGTCCATACCCTGATGGGAATGCTTTTCCCTCACTTTTTACAGGACTGACATTTTATCCTTTAGGTTTTAGTTTATCTCAGAGACATGATAAGTGAACTACTGTAGCTAAGAAAGAGGCCCCAGCCAGCTCAGCCCCTTGTCTAGTTCACAACTAGTCCAATTTTATTTATTTGTCCATTGGTTGGTTTGGGAGTTGGTTGGTTGGTTGTTGTTTTGCAGTACTGGGGATTGAACTCAGGGGTACTCTAACTACTGAGCTACATCCTCAGCCATTTTTGTTTTATTTTATTTTTTAGTACTACAGATTGAAACTAGGGGCACTTTACTAGTAAGCTACCTTTCCAACCTTTTTTTTTTTTTTTCACTTTCAGACAGGGTCTCATTAAGTTGCTGAGGCTGGCTCCAACTTGAGATCCTCCTGCCTCAGCTTCCCATGTTGCTAGAGTTATAGGCATGCACCACCATGCCTGATCTTTTTCCCTCTTCTTTATTAAAACCTAACTTCCCTGTAGACAGACTCCATATTTGTGCTTTTCATCATTATCTCCTTCACTAAGTGTAGAGTTCAGTAGAGGGTAGCTTAAAACAGCCTAAGTGGATCAGAACCAGAGCAGGTAGCTTTTGTTTTGGAAAAATGTGAAATTATAATGATTAAACATTGGGAGGGTATGTCTTTTTATGCCATATGTTCGCTCAGTATGTGTGGTGATGATAAGCTACATCACCTAGTATCATCAGGCGTGAGTTGGGTTGGCTTCATTCTCTTTGGTGTATGGAAATGGTTTTATCACTAACAGTAACGGAGCCTCTGCTCTGTGCCCAGGAATAAGCCAGACCCTCCTTCATCCATTGTTTTATATAATCATCAACCTTACACAGTATGTGTTGTCATTCCTGCTTTTTCCCAATAGATACCAGGACTCAGAGAAGTTTGGTTGCCTGCCCCAGGTCACACAGTAAGGCAGTAACAGACTCAGGCTGGAAATCAGGTCCGTCTCTCTCCAAAGCATTCACTGACAATACCACACTCCACATCTGGCTCCTCATTCATCAGATGGGAGGGGCGGCCAGGGAAGCACCCCAGGTGCTGGCAGCCCCAAGCCTGGTCCCAGGGCTTAGTGGGCGGCAGCTGAGCAGCACAAGGACATCCTGGAGCATACCCCACCTTGACCCTACACTGTGTTCTTTTGGCTCCAGCCACTGGCAGCCAAGACAAGGGACAAATGTGGCTTATTCTTGCAAAAGCAGAGAAGGGGCTGTCAGCTAAGACTCAGCCTTACATTCTGAATTTAAACAAAAGTATTTAGTCACTCAAACCAGATCCCTTAGAACATGATCAGGTTTGTAAGGAATTTGAGCTTGGTGTGGGAATAGTGCATCAGTCCAGGGCCAGGAAAGTTTTGTCTGCTCTTAGATTCCTTCTCTAGGTAGTTTACTGAGGAGTCAGTTGTAGGAGCTGAGCGCATTGAAACTTAAGGCAGGCTCTCGCATTCCCTTCCTTCTACTTTCTGCTGAGACATCTTCCATCACTATAGTGATGGTGATGATGACAGCAGAGCTGGGTCATGAAGACCTATGCTAAGCTGGGTTTCATGCTTCATCTTTGAAGTCACCTATATTATTAGCATCACACTTAAATTAAGCAGTTAGTTGTGTCTCTCTGGTCAAAGACCTGGACCGTATCACCTGAACTGCCTTATAGACGTAGTCCAGCTCATGCTGTGCTTCCTGTCAGAAGAGCACTTGGAGCATCTTCACTTGCCAACACTCTACCTACCTTTCTAAACCCATCTCCCACCAGGAGCCCCTTCTGGATCCCAGCAATAATCCATCTTTCCTTGCCTGCCTGGTATCCCCATGGCATTTTTTAAAAAATATTTTTAGTTGTGGATGAACATAATATCTCTATTTCATTTATTTGTATGTGTTGCTGAGGATTGAATTCAGAGCTTTGCACATGCTAAGTCTGCATTTTCCATTTAGCCACAACCCCAGCCCAACCCCATGCCATTTGACCTTAGGTTTGTGCAGTGGTATGTCCAGACTCTATGGGTGATGTATATCTGCCATTTTGCCTGCTGTTTGGGGTCAGAAATTCTACTTTGGCAATAGGGATCCCTGGAAAGAGGATTGAGGTCAGTAGATTTAGGACTGAGCCGCTTTCCTGCCACTTCTTCATCTTGAGCCCTCAGGCCGTGTATCTGTCTGCTTCAAGGTTTGCTTTCCAGGTACAAAAAACAGTTGTGAGGACTACGTGACAGAGCACACATAAGGTGCTTAGCTGTGACTTGGCCCCAGGAGGTGCAGAGCTGGTGGCTCCCTTTTTCTTCCTTTCTCCACAGCTCCTGGGGCCCAGCTTGGTGCAGATGTGCCTTCTGCATGCTTGTAAAATGCAGCTCAAGTATTCTGCACTTCCTCAGGCATTCTGATTAGAAGAAACACAGAAGGAACATACCCTCCACACGTGTCCCCAGAATGCAGCGGGTATGGATATCAACTCATGGACAGTGGCTGCCTCTTTTTCCTATGTCCAGTGCAGGCACAAAGGAATCCCCTGGGGGAGCCCCCCATTCTGTAAACCTAAAGGGCACATGGCCTTGACCTCTGGCCCCTGTGAGGGATAGCCAAGTTTCTGCTAGGGCCACAGACTCACTGCCAGCAGCAGTGTCTGAGTGGGCTAGGCTCACCCCATCCTTAGCTCTGCCTCCTCTCCCACCATGGCAGGAGAGGCCTCCCACCCTCCTCAAGCTCTCTGTTCATTTTATTTATCACTTGGGATTTCCTACGAGGGAGCCTTGTCTGACACCCTCAGGCTTCATCTGTCTTCCTCCAAGGCCTGTTGAGCCGTAGAGTCAGTCCAGGAAGTGGCCTTGAGTGCCACCTTTGTGCCAGATACCAGGCTGGGGTCAGGGAGGCTTGCATAACCAAGATGCCACTGTCTCCATGCTGTTTACAGTGTGGTAGGGATGGCAGACACTCAAAAGGAGGAGAGTACAAATGAAGTGTATGTTAGGAAAGGGGAAGTCATTTATTCCCTGGCCCCTGGGACCAAGTCCCCATTCTTATCATCAATCACTCTGTGATCTTTCAGGCAAGAAGCCTGGAGATTTACCAGCCCTAGCCAGTCACAGGAGAGAACTTCTGCTTGTCTTATCTTGTCCTGAGGGTTTAAGCACACCCAGGCTTCTTCTACCTACTAGTCATTTGTCATTTCTCTTTCTTCTGTTGATGCTTCAGGTGTGAGAGCTGTGTCTGAAGGCTTCCTTCAGCGCGCACGCACACACACACACACACACACACACACACACACATGTCTCTACATGTCTTTGTGTGGTTGTGTATGTCAAAACAAAGCAAAGAACAAGATGTGTGACTAAAAAGAAGCTTGTGATTTGGAAATAAGATCTTGGTTCCTGTCCCGGCTTTTCACCCAAAGTTGTCAGATCTTGGGCAACCTATTTCATTTCTCTGGGTCTCAGTATTGTCATCTGTAAATAGTAAAGCCCTCCTCCTTAAACTCTTGTGAGGATATACCTGAAGTAATACATTTGAAAGTCTGTTGGAAAACAAACTGCAACTTAAAAGTGGTGATAGATACGTGCAAATAAAGAATGTATACAGGACTTGGAATGCAGCTCAGTGGTAAAGTGCTTGCTAGCTAGCATATGCAAGACTGTGGGTTTGATCCCCAACATCACCAAAAGAAAAAAAAATAATGCCTACAAATTTATCATTTTTTAACATCTCCTCTAAGAGTACTCTCTGGAATTCATTTTTCAATGTTAAACAGAGGTTAGGAATTTTTTCCATGAGGTATAAAGAAATAACTTCATGAACAGCAAGGGATAATAGCATCAAACCCAGAGTACCCACGCAGCCAAGAAAAGAAGAAAAACTCAAGTGTTACAGAGCTCTCATGATCTGATTTGTAAATTAAAAATCCCGATATAGCCAGGCACAGTAGCACATGTTTACAATCCCAACTAGTTGGAAGCCTGAGGCAGGAGTATCACAAGTTCAAGTCCAGCCTCCTCAACTTAGCAAGATCCTGTCTAAAAATAAAAAAGGAACAGGGATGTAGCTCTATGGTAGAGCACCTCTGGGTTTAATCCTCAGCACCAGGTGGGGGCAAAAAGTTCTAATATAAAGTGAGCATTCACCAGTCATTTTCTCACACAGTGGTGCCAGCATGACCTGTTTCAGAGGGGAAGTAGACAGAGTGTTCCAATAGCTAGCAGCCCCCCTCATTTCCCCCTCACCCCACTCCTCTTCCTCTCCTGCTGTCTTTTGGCTACAGTGCCCCTGTTCTGAGGTCCCGCTGAGGTCCCGCTGACCTTCCTGGTGACCACCGCCTGGTGCCTCTCCCTCCTCCTGCTGACTTCCGTCTCCAAATGTTTTCTCAGGTGGTTAAGCTGAAAGGCCAAGTACTGTCGGTCATGTATCGATTCCGCACCAAGAACCGTGAATGGATGCTGATCCGCACCAGCAGCTTCACATTCCAGAACCCTTATTCTGATGAGATCGAGTACATCATCTGCACCAACACGAACGTCAAGTACGTGCTCAGCCTCCCTCTCTGCAGGCCTCCCCATGCCTTCACTTGGGTCCAGAGCTGAAAGTTGTACTTGGATTCTTTTCCCCCTGCAGGCTGTACTTAAAGCTAGAAATCCCCACAGGGCTAAAGAACAAGATTGGGGATACCTGGGCTGAGGCTGTAACTCAGTGGCAGAGCATTTGCCTAGAATATGTGAGGCACTGGGTTCAATCCTTATCACTACCTAAAAAATAAACAAATAAAATAAAGGCATGCTGTCTGTCTACAGCTAAAAAACAAAAAAATGAATGGGGAGAGCTGGGGGAGGTGGCGCAGTCCTGTAATCCTAGCTACTCCAGAGGAGGATCTTAAGTTTGAGGCCAGCCTGGGCAACTTAGAGAGACCTTGTCTCAAAATTTAAAAAGCTGGGGATATAGCTCAGTGGTATTGAACCCTAGGGGTCAATCTATAGTACTGCAGAATAAAACAAAAGGAATTGTTGAGTATGGATCCCCCATCACTTGGGAAATAGCCCTCTTGTGTTCTTCCTTCTCAATTATAAGAGCCCAAAGGACTGAGTGGCCCATGTCAGTCCCTTTCCTTTAGGCCGAAGTACTATGGTCTCCATTCCTCATTGTTTTGCCTCTGAACACAGAACCCAGCAGAATGGAGCTATTGGGTGCTCCCCCTCTGCTCTCTGCTGTGGCAGGTGTATGTGCCTGGATTCTTGGTCCTGCTGGTAGAGAAAGTGAGACTGAGCCCCTTGGCAGCTCTAGGACATGGAGCAGGTGGCCTGTGGTGGGCACTACTGCCCATTCACCAAAGCATTCCTTCCTACTCCTCAGAACCTCAAGCCCTAGTGTCTCTGCTGGATTCTGGGATCCTCCAGTATCCTGTATAAGCTGGCAGACAGATCTAGGCTGTAAACTTGGCTCTGCTGCTTCCTGGCTGTGTGATCTTGAGCAAGTCACTTGTCTCTTAACTTTCACTTCCTTACCTGTGATTTGTGATGATCCTCCTTCGGGCAGTTACTGTGGAACTAAATGATATTGAACTCAGAACTGTGGGCCAGACACTGCTCAGCACTCAGCACAGTGAGCATGATGGTAGGCAGGTTGCATCATCTCTCTGGTTTTAGTCTCAAGGACATAGTTTCCGACTAATGATAGTTTAACTTTGCGATAGCATGAAAGTGATACACATTCAGTGTAAACCATGCTTTAAATTTTGAAGCTGGATCTTTTCCCCAGCTGGCCATATGCAGTATGAACTTCTCAAGATGTTGAACAGCAGCAGCCACAGCTCCCAGCCTATCCCACAATCACAAAAGGGAACAACCATCACTCCACAGTGTATGGTATTAATCTAAAATGATTGGTAGGTCAGAGCTATTAAGTGCAATTTTGACTGATGATATTTTCAACATATGGGTTTATCAGAATATGACCCACTGCATGTCCCAGGAGCATCTGTACCAGGCCAAGGAACCAACAGCAGTAACAACATTTGTGCAAAGGCTAACTCAGCTGATGCATGTGGAAGCCATGCCCAGGTGATGAGGAGGGCCACAGCTAACTGGATGTGTGACAAGGCTGGCATGCTGAGAATGTCCTTATATCTCCCTGTTTGTGTCCTTCATTTTCCGAGGTTCAAAACATGTCTGTTTTCCAGCCCCACCTCCTCCTGGAACCTACCTGGTGATGCCTTTTCTCAGCAGCCTCCCTGGGGACTGAGCCTCCTGCAGTCATTCTCACCTCATGGCACCCTCAGTGTTGCCTTGCCCTGTCTCTTGTTGCAGTCCTCAAACCCTTTGAATGTTGACGCTCCCATCTGGAGACCACAAAGCAGCCTCCCGTTCAATCAGCAGCACTCTGTGGGCCCTCAGCCTTGGCCCTGCTCCTGGGTATAAGGCACAGAGCCGAATAAACAAGTCCACGCAAGATCCCTCAGAGAGCAGATGTCCTGGGTTTCAATGTCATTTCCCAAATGGATGAGTCACATCCCCTTTCTGAACCTCAGTGGCCTCATCTACACTGTGGGGAAAAGACTCCCCTAGCATCAGGAGTTTTTGTGCAAGTTCTGCAGGACACTCTACGTGTGAGGTGCTCCAGCAGGCTGCCACACAGGGACAGCACAGACCAGTGTCTGCCCCAGCTGTTGCTGATGCTGTCAGCAATAGCAGCAGGGACTCTGCCAGCTCTGGAAGCAGATTGACAATTTGGGAGCAGCTCCAAGAAACTGGAACTCAGCTCCTCTTTGTCTCTTCAGTGCCCTGCCTGTGTTCTGACACTCCCTCCAAGAGGAAGGCCAGGGCCCTGCTTGTGCCTCCTCATGCTCATAAGTGGGTCCATCTTGGGCCCCTTTGCTCCTCTTCTTCTGCCTTTTCCTTCTAGAGCCAAAACCTTCATTTTCTTTATCTCCTGGCATATTTTCTCTCTCCCTGGCCCAAATGTCTTGTCCATCCCTCCTGAGGATGGATAATTCCCAAGGCCTTCAAACAGACACACAACTTCCTGATCATGGAAGACCTCTGTCCTGCCAGTCCACAAAGGCACTCTCTCCTATCTGCCCTTGCTAAATGCACCCAGCAGAGTCGCCTTCTGACCATTCATCTCTTCTTAACCTCTTACAGCCTGGATTTTGCCCCAACATTCCTGAAGTTGCCAGCACCCTCTAGTGACCCACATAGGATAACTCATTGTCATGTTTCTTCTCCCCAAGTGGTCTATTTAACCAGCTCTTCTTTCTTGACATCTTCTCCTTTGAGTTACTTGATAGAGTACTCTGATTCTTCTACCTTCCTGTTGTAGTCAAGACTTTCTTGATTATAAGTTTTTTAGGAACAAATACAAGAAGTCATAGCTTCCCAGGTATGTAAAAAGAGATAATGGTATCAGAGTTTATCTAGTTAAGCTTGGAGAACTCAATCAAATTGAGGATATTTTATTTCCCTCCTCCCTCCAACATGGAAAGGGAGGTTTTTCACTCAAGGAACATAAAAATATCCTCTAGTGCCATGCCTGTGTTTGGCCCTTGCCTTGATGAAAACAGGGAAGGTTGAGAAGCAGGGGTAAGAGACTGGGCTCAGGGTTCCATGACTTTTCTTCTGTTCAACAGATAAATAGGGTATGGAGGGTGGCAAGCTGAGTTTCTCTTTCAGGAGCTGCTAAGCCAGAGGCAACAGGTGTGCCTGTTAACTGGATGGAGCCAGATATGGGGCAGTGGGATACCAGACTCATGTCTCCTGTTGTGGTCTTCCTCCAGCCACTTCAGGCTGAGGCTGCCTGTGCAAAAAACCATGAACATAGATAAGCACCTCTCCCATTCAGAGTCACCAAATGGACTAGTTCTTGGTTATAGCTGCCTCCTCTCACAGTCCTGCCTGCATTTTCTTCCATTCATCACTCTTTTTCTCCCTTTATATACCCATGACCTTGCCCCAGTTATTCCCACAGTCGAGTACATGGTGCCTGTGCACACCAGGCTTGAGGCTTTTTGTTACCTAGGTTTCTAGGGTGTCATCTGAACAGCCTGTCCCCTTCTTCCAAACTCAAGTCTTGCCTATCTTTGAAGCCTCTTACTTCTACAGCAAATCCAGGCCACCCTGCTGGATCCCTGGCTGGATACCCAACAGAGTCTTCTACATTTGGGTCAGAAAAGCAGACTAAAGCTCCCCTTTTTTTGAGTTTTTGATACTTTAAAAATTTTCATCATTCATTCATTTTCAGCATTTATGCAAGATTCAGTTGTCAAAGTAATATGGTTTTATTGCCACTAATGCAGCAGACATTTCCTGAAGGGACACAACCTGCACCAGCCGAGATCAAGGTGTCACCATATGGTTCTTGCCTTCAGGGAGGAGCCCTGCTCTAGAAGGCTAGGGCTTGGACTTCAATAACATGAAGAACATGAGAAAGGACAGACAGCCTGACAGGTGAAGTTCAGCAGGGACAAAGAGGAGGCAAGGACAAGTGCTTCTGCAGAGCCAGAAGGTATCCCCAGGGGTCTGTCCTGCAGTGAGGCCTGGAAGTGAAGGAACTACCCACTTCTGAAACTAGTTGTATCTGGAGTTTTGCTTTATTTTCTGAAAGCCAAGCAGCAGGGACAAAACAGAAACCATTTTGTGCAGGAGTGTGCCTGTGTGTTTCCTCAGTATAGTTGCTTGGCAGCTTGTGGAAGTTATTTGGATCAGAATGCACCAGCACCTGTCTTCTAAACCAGAAGGTCTTCAGGGCAGAAAAGCTCATTGTGGACAGTAGAGGGCAGTGATATCCACAGCAGTGAACAGGCCAGCCCTTCTTTTACATTTGTGAGGTTCAACCTTGCCAGCAGTAGGCAGGCTTGTTGTAGAAAAATTGTCTAATGCTCTATGCTCAGTAGGGATATTTGCAAGCTGCTCAGTTGCATTCATTTGATAGCATACCAAAGAAACTTGCTGGGACCATTTGTGTGAAACTGCTGAGAAGAAAACCTATTTAGCATCTCTGACTGTCCTGTTATATCTGTACAAAATAAAGTCAAGGAAAACATAAACCAGTCTAACATGTAGACTGTGCTTCTTGGAACAGTGACTGGGTCTTGGTGTCTAGGGATCAGTACTCTTTCAGAGACTAGCTGTGGGCTGGTTCTGAGTGTGGGTCTTTGGTGTTTTTACATTTTCACACCTACTTGCTGTGCTTGCTTCTTTTCCCTCCTCTCTTCAGCAGAGTGATCCAAGGTCTTCTCTTTACATCTGCTTGGGCCAAGCCCTCTTTCCTGCCATGGCATTGTTTCATCCAAGTTTTTATAGTTTTTCATAAACACAAGTGCTTCTCATGTGTGCTCACTTGTGTGTGTGAAAAAGAGGGAACATGTGTTCCTAAAGCCTCACTATGCCTGGACTAAGACTTGGGTCTCTCTGAACCTATCAACTATCACATGTATTTAATGGTGGTTGGTACTAAGCAAAAGGTGCAGAGTAAGGGTAGGTATTTAAAAAAAAAAAAAAAAGGAAGATTGCATTCCTGGTCTCTACTAAGCCTTCAGCCAGTCAGGGGTTGATACACCCAGTCATCAAGCCCCAAACCTGGGAATTGTCCTGGGTTCCTGGCTCTTATTCCCCTGCAAAAGGTAGCCTGGCATAGAACCAGAGCTCCTGTCTCTCTCTAAGACATTTCTTCCTCCTATACCTCTTCCACCAGTGGAAGCCTTGTCATTTTGCAGGTGACTATTGGCCCTGCTAACCAGCTCCCCTGCCTGCCCTCAGGCCCCTGTTGAGTCGACCCACAAGGCTCAGAGAGCAAGTGCTCTGAAATATACATGGGACCATGCTGCTCCCGGCCCTTCATCAAATCAATTCCAAACCCTTTAATAGGCATTCAGGTTCTTCGCAATAGTTATACAGACGGTTCTCAACCCAGGGTGGATATTAATAACCTCTCTCTGATCAGCTGAACTCTCCAAGTGCCAGATTCCTCAGCCCAATTCTGGCTATTCCCAGGGGCACAATCACATTGCCTTTCAATGCCCCCCTAATGGCTTCATGTTCTCTTACATAGACTGAGTTGTTTTTTTGTTGTTGTTGTTGTTTTGTTTTTTGTTTTTTGTTTTTGTTTTTTAAGAAAAAAGAAAGAAACTGTCCAGGGAGAGTCAGAGATAATTGACAGCATCTACCCAACTTCCTGCACCTTGCTGGCAGGAAGTTTGGCTGAATGCATTGAGTTTCTAGTCATTATCCATTGGCCCCCAGCTAATGGAGGGCAGCACTCTGCTGTGGTGGGAGCCTGCCTCCCTCACATGTGCTGTGTGGTCAGTTTTTTCTCAAACAGATTCGCTTTCTCCCTCTCTGGAATGTGCCAGCACACCAAGGTTTATTTTTATACCAGTACTATGAATATCTGAGAACCCTCCTTGGGCCCCTTCTCAGGATGAGGTAGCTGGAGGTCAGCACTTCTTCCATTTGCCCTCAACTAAGGAAGTGGAAACCCAAAGCCTATGGGATGGAGATACTGATGTCTGGACCATGGAGCCAGTGAGTTTAGGACACTGGGGATTCGCGAGCCTTAACTGAGACCTTACTTCTATTTCCCAGTGAAAGGAGCTTTCCCTGCTCTAGAAGTCCAGAGAGGAACAGGACTGACAGCTAACTCCTAGCCTATTGCCAGGTCCCTTCCTATCACTCCTTCATGCAAATGAGAAGCATGCAGCTTTCATACAAAACACACCTGCACCAGGGTACATGGTGAACCCTGGGAGAAAACTGGGTCTGTGCCCCACACAGCCCTTGGCTGGATAACTGTACATAGTGGCCCTGCCCATTCTCTAACCCTCTGGGCTTGGGCTGAACATGGGGTAGGTTTGGTTGTTATTTTTTAAAGAAATGCTTGTGGGTTCAAAGTTGGGCTCTGGGAAAGGGGTGGAGAGCAGAAATACAGATTTCTGCCATAGAGTGGAAGGGTTCACTGTTCCAATCCCACAAAAATCCCAAGGGATGTGCTATTTTCCCCCCACCTTTTGGTTCAGTATGTTGTCTTGTATTCTGGGTGGGGGCAGCAGCCAAGACAGATGAAAGAGTTCACGGTCCACAGCCAGCCAGATTGAACTTGAATCCTATAGGTGGCCATATCATGTGTGTGTCACACTGGATACATCATTTAAACTCTCTGGGCCTCCATTTCTTTATCTTTTAGGTGGGAATATACAGAGATATGAAGATGTTGGCAAAGTATTGGCAGTCCATCTTACATTTAGGTTTTAGAAGCCCTACAAATGAAAACATGATGGTACTCTCAAGAAGTAAACTAAAAAATTTTTAAAGTGAAACCATAAAGTAAAAATAAGGACATAAAATAATGATTTTTTTCCCTATTGATTCTTGAAAAAAATTTTTGGAAATATCAATTTGTCTGGAAAATTACTTTTAATGTTCCTACTTTCTTGTGTAACAAGCATGGGCTTAGACTGCCTGATGGAAAATCACGTGTTTCTACTTTTATCTTTATCCTTTTTTAGGACTCTTATCCCAAGTTAGGAGGCAGACCACAGGTTCTCACATTCACGTGCTCTGTGGTTTTAACCCACCACCTTCCAACCGCATGCCTACACATCTCTCTCCCCCTGGGGAGACAGCTGCATGAGGGCAGAGATCTTGTGGGCTCCAGGTCATTGTTCTGTTTGTTCCTGATGCCCAGCATGGAGCTTGGCATGGATCTTTCACTTAACTCAGTAGAGTTCACTGAGTAGATGACTCATCTGGGCTTAATCCTAAACAGATTCACAGGGTCCTCCAGCTGGAGTTCTTTCCAATGGGAGTATTTAAAGTTGAGGAGTTGGGCTCAGTGGTGCATGTTTGTAATCCCAGCGGCTCGGGAGCTTGAAGCAGAAGTTTCGTGAGTTCAAAGCCAGTCTCAGCAAAAGCAAGGCACTAAGCAACTCAGTGAGACTCTGCTCTAAATAAAATACAAAATAGGTCTGAGGATGTGACTCAATGATGAGTGCCCCTGAATTCAATCCCTGGAACCCCCCCAAAAAAAGAAAATTGACAAGGACACTCATTCCGTTTCATGTGTGAGCTCTGAGTTGTAGAGTTTACTGTCCTTTGAAAGCAACCTAGTTTCATATTTTAAAACTTAAAGCATCCATTTATTCTTATCAATTTTTCCTTTGCCCAAATGGAGCAACTGGCACTCTGGCAATTTAGATCCAGAAGTGTGAGCTCAGACCCTTGTTCTGCTTTATCAGAATCACTTCTAGTCAGCCAATTGAGCTTGACAACTACCTAACCTCTTCCAACTTTAACTTCTTAATTTTTATATATAGATAAAGTACACTATGAAAATTTAGTATGAGGATTAAATGAGATGATATAAACTCCTACTACGTTGTAGGTAAGCATTATCTAAAGCTAGCTTTTTTATCATCTTTAAACTCAACTGAATTTTTTAATTTAGCCTTTTTAAAAAAATCTGTTTTTTATTGTTATCTTTTTACCCTGCATAAAATGAAGTCATACATCAAAACTTATTTCTTAAATAGTTCAGTTTGGCAATCTAAATTTGAAATATAGGGCTCAGAATCTTGATTTGGGAAATTAAAAGTAAAATAGATAGGCATGATAGCACATGCCTCTAACCCCAGTGACTTGAGAGGCTGAGGTAGGAAGTTTGCAAGTTTGGGGCCATCCTGGGCAACTGAGGGAGACCCTGTCTCAAAATAAAAAATTAAAAGGGCTGAGGATGTGGCTCAGTGGCAAAGCACTTCTGGGTTCAATGCCCAGTACCAAAAATAAAATAAAAAATA